GGAGCAGCCCTTTCTCTGATGTGCCCTCAGTGGACGGAGACCCCCACTTCATCATCCAAGTCCGAGGGAAAAAGGATGCCATCTGCTTCAACATTGATGAAGAACCAGGCACAGTGCTGCGCCTCATTCAGGACCCCATTACAGGTGGGGGCTGCAGGATGGGGCTGGGGCCAAGGGTCTTCCTGGGAAGGCCTGGAGACCCCCAGGGTGGGCACATGGACCAGGTCCTCACTCTGCTCCTAATGCTCCCATCTTCACACGCTGGAGAGGGCTGTCCAGAACCACAGGCTATCCAAGTTCCCCAGGGACCAGTGTGTTGGGAGATGGTTAGAGTTAATGGCAGCCTGGCCCTGCAGGCAGGACTCAGCCTATAGCTGGGGAATCATTTTTCTCTGAACTATGATACTTCCTGGCCCAGGCAATGAGACAGGTCTACACTGTGGCCCTCAGCCACCAGCATGACCTAGTGTGTCTAGGAGCAAATTGGCTTAACTGTGAGGTTCTGGTCTCTTCTGGAGACCCTCCTAATCTGAATACCTCACAGCAAGTCTGGCTGAGGGGGAAGGCACATTCTTTTGTTTTATTTTGTTTTTTAATATATTTTTATTGATTTTTTACAGAGAGGAAGGAAGAGGGATAGAGAGTTAGAAACATCGATGAGAGAGAAACATCGATCAGCTGCCTCCTGCACACTCCCTACTGGGGATGTGCCCACAACCAAGGTACATGCCCTTGACTGGAATTGAACCTGGCACCCTTGAGTCCGCTGCTGATGCTCTATCCACTAAGCCCAACCAGTTAGGGCAGAAGGCACATTCTTAAGGGCCAGCTGATCAGAAGATCTCGCTGGTCTCTTACTGCCCCTTGCCCCTGGCAGGCTTAACAGTAAATGGGCAGATCATTGGTGACAAGGGAAACAGCTCTAACTCTAAGAACAGAAAGACTTACTTTGGCAAAGTGGGCATTGTCAATTCTCCGATGGACTTGCGGATTGAGGTGACCACAGAGAAGATTACCCTGAAGAATGGGGCTGCACAGAGTTCTTTCAGCTGGCTGGACACAGTCACGGTCACCTCGGAAAGGTAAGGACCATACCGGGACTCGATAGAAGGAGGCTTGAAGGATTTGTAAAAATCTGAGGACAGAAGATCCATACGGGGTTACAGGGAAGACTGGTGGCCTCAGAGTTCAGTCCCTGCCCCGGGGGAGTGTGACCATGGTAGACCTGAGCCAACCCCTAGGGCCCCTGTGAGAACCAGAATTGGTAGCTGGACAGTTCATAGGGCTGACCTTGAGGGAAGGGCTACATGGACCCAAGGATCAGGTAGGCATGGCAATCTGGTAACAGCAAGAATCCTATTTGCATCTTCTCTGGCTGAATTCATTAGTTCCCAAGCCGCTCAGCCTCTCCTATGTCTTTAGATTACCCAGACCCTGGGAGGCAGGGCAGGAGTGTTACTCCACTGAGGCTCAGAAACAGGGTAGAACCTGCCCAGGAATCTAATGGCTGAGCTGGGACTGGATCCCAGGCCTCCGGATGCCGAGGACAGCCCCTTTCCTGCTTAAGGAGGAGCAAGAATGCATTCAGGGGAGGCATAGTCGGCATGCATGACATGTCTTTCCTCCACACTCCTGACATAGTTTCTGGAGTTGTGTGTTCTCAGGT